AAAGTATTTGATAATCAAATTTTTTTTACAGCACTCACTTTCGTTTTAATTTGAATTTTTATTCATATAATTTCAAACTATATATATATATATATATATATATATATATCCCTTGTCCAGTTGAAGTAGTTTTATCTGTAACCTTGGAAACGTGAATTATGATTTTAGCTGTGTCTTTAAAAGTAAAACCCAGTAATTTTAAAAGTTACTCCAAAATTCGGTTGAGGATAAAATAGAACTAATGTCTTTAATTTAATTACAAAATTAAATTCGTAGCTTTTAGCTTCCATTTTGAAACATGGTTAGAACTGTGTAGCGAAAAAAACATATTTTAAATAAATCAATTTATAATATATATATATATATATATATATATATATATATATATATATATATATATATATATATACCCAAGTGCATGATTAGTGTAAATTCCAATCACCAACAATTACTATTCTTAAAATAGTGCTCAATACAGAGTAGAGCGAATATAAATATTTATTTAAAAATTATAACATAAATATGTTATAAAATCACTACAAAAATAGCCATTTTGTTTCAACACCGTTGGTGTCTTATCAAGTGATGAACATCATCACTTGATAAGACACCTAAGACACCATATTTATTTTATAATTTTTAAATAAACATCTATATATATATGCACGCATACATGATGTATCGGTACAAAAAACTTTGATAAATAAGTCTTTAAATTTTCAAATAAAATTAAAAAATGGGTGTGCTTCAGACTATAATAAAATAAATTAAATACACTTAGAGTTAAAACAATTAAAATCGCACTTATATCAAGTACCCTTTACTTTAAACACGATAATTTGCTACTCTGAACTAAAAATCGCTTCCATATATATATATATATATATATATATATATATATATATATATATATATATATATAAATCCTACATATGGCTTGATTAATTATCTAAAATAAACAATTTCTGCCTCTTAGGAAAAACTGAATTTAAAGAAAAACTACAAATCTGTTTTGATTTCAGAATCGAAAAATGAACGTGTCAATTTGAAATGTAGGCCCTTATTAAAATGTGATCCGCACAAACTCGATTGGAAATTAGTATTTGGGGTGGGGGGATTTATTTATTTTTTGCTTTTTCTAGTGCCGAAATAAAACAATCCGATGAGCAGGTTTCAGACCTCGATCGAGATAAGCTTTTTGGAGATTACAGTCAAACTCCGATAAGACTTTATATATCAATGGAACGATGTCACGTAAAGTAACGTTTTTATAAAATGTTTCAATGAAAAGAAAAAGAAAATAAAATGATAAAAAATAGATAAAAGATATTTATTACTTTTTATTTATTTATTTGTGCAAATCAATCACTGAATTAAGCCGATGACTCTCTGCATTAATAAAAATGTCACCCGGCTTAACTTTCGTTTACTACATGGTAGCATTTATTACTGTTATTTCTTATATTTAAAAGAAGATATTTACTTTGCAAAAATAGCAGACCTATTCTACGACTGAACAACGCGATCGAAAAATTTCAAACTTTAAAAATTTCATAAAACTATTTCAATCACAATCTCTTATACTTGGCTTATGATATGGTGAAATTTTATTTTGTTATCATAAATTTCAAATTTACCATTATCTGATGAAATTTTATTTTCACATCATAGCTTGCAATTTATTATAATCTACTAAAAATTTTATTTTGTTATCAGAAATTTCAACTTAACATTCGTAAAAATGTATTTTCTCATCTTAGATTTCAATTTACCATAATCTGGTGAAATTTTATTTTATCATAAATTTCAAATTTACCATTATCTGGTAAAAAATGTATTTTCTCATTTTAGATTTCAATTTGCCATAATCTGGTGAAATTTTATTTTCTCATAAATTTCAATTTACCATTATTTAGCAAAATGTTTTATTTTCACCTCAAAGGTCGCAAATTATTTAATATTTTTTCCTCTTTTATTACCATTTTTTGTCGTGATTAATTGTATCATATAAAAGTTTCTTTTAATAAGTTTGTTAAAAGATTACGAAAAATTCCATCTTGCTGACAAAATCCCTACTCGGAAAACGGATGAAAACACTTTTTTTACGTTTATATATATTTCGACCTAATTACTAAGAATTCAGCTTCTTTTTTTATTTCAAGATATGAACATATTTCAATGAAATATGTTTACACATTTAAAGAATCAATTTCTTTTTCTTTTTTTTTTTACTTGTTTTATGTTAATTTATTTTTTAACACTCTCATTGTCCGGCGCAAAGTCATTTTCATTTTCCCTATGTTAATATTTCAGTTCATAAAAACGGAAGCATAATTAAAATCCTAAGCAACAAACCAAAAGTAACAAATTAAAATTAATAGAAATAATGGATTATCCAGAGAATAGATCGATCAAAACTCGGTGTAAAAAAAATCAATATATTGCAATATATAAAATTACGGAAGGTGTTAGTGAAATAAAATGAAATTACCTTAGAGGTCTCATTTCTATAAAGTTAGTTTCAATATTGAACAACATTGACATTTTTGTATTAAAAAAGTCTTAAAACGGAACAGGTTCGTTAAAATGAACTTTGTTAAGGTTATCATTTTCTTGAGTTTTACTTTCTTACTAATTTAAAAATAAAATTAATTCAAGAATAATTTATTTAACTACTTTAGAGATTTAGCTAGTTAAAAAAAAGTTAATTTAAAAGTTAAAGTAAACCGTTACTATGGAAACTTTGTCACAATTAGTAATAATGTGGTATTTTCAAATACCTCATTTAAATTATTTATATAGATATATAATTTCGTTCTTAATTTTATTGTTATATTGCTTTGAGTGTTCTTTCTGTTTTTATAGAATAAATAAAAATGTAAAAAAAAACTGTTTTATTTTGAAAAATATTCATCATATGATAAAGGTAAAAAATAATGAAGCTCGCTATCTATATTGATATTTGCAGAACTAATTAATTACTAAAAACAAAAAACTAACAACTATAATCTTGTTTCATTACTGTATAATCAAACCAATTTAAAAGACTGATCTCAAGATCTGAACAAAAAAATGAAAGAAATTACTCCATTACTTAATAATACAACGTGATGTTTTCACATCGCTAAACAAATTATAAAACTGCTTCTAATACACATTACATATAATTAAAACTAGAAACTCCTTGTTAGTTACTTGACAAGAGTACTTCAGAAGGTTACTGCACTAACCAGGAAAAAGATTTTAATTGTTCAAACACTAGTGTACGGTATACTAAAAAAAAAGGTACCCGGCAATGATAATTTTTTTTCTCTATATATCGAAGGTGTTCTGGAGCCGATTGCTCGATTTTTACATTCGAAAGAAAAATACGAAATCTGGAACTTTAAAGAATTCACATCCGCAAAAGTTTTTTAGTACATTCTAAGCAAATTTTCACATTGCTTAAATAAAAAATAAAATTACCATCTAAAGAGATGCTATCATTTTCGTCACAGGGTTCATCTTTATCGGTCGATGATCTTTTAAGGGCCATCCAACGTAAACTTTTCTCACTGGCCGATAAATTGTAAATAAAAAGATTCAAATAAAATGAAGTGAAAATTATTTATGATGTTTATTCGTCCGAATAACGACAGTTTTTTTTTTCTTTTTTTATCTTGAGTTTTATTTAAAATTTTTGGCATCAAACATTTCGTTGGATTGTATCTCTATTTTCTAGAAATAATTTTTAGTCTTAGATAATTTTAATCAAACATTTGAAAGAAAGTCGTTTAATATTGTCTAAAAATAAAATTTGATTAAAATTATTTATATTATTTAAAAGAAATGAACTGTATTTATAAAAATATTTCTTTTTACTTTTCAAGTGATGTTTGTATTTAAAATAAAAAAAATAGTACATGAACCACGCTAATAAAATCCTTCCCATGAATTTTATTATGTATTTTATCCTTTTGAGATGACGTATTATCATTGTTCTAAATTCTTAGAAGGTAGGTCTGAAGATAGATATCTGAAGAAGTCCGGAGGGTACAACGGTCGAAACATTGTAAAAAGTATAACAACCAAAATGAAGATAACAAGCTTGAATCGAAAGCCAGATGATGATGAATTAAGAATTTATCTTATTTGAATAAATGTTCGCGAAAATTAATTTAAAATTTTCGTTTAAAAAAAAGCCATTTTAAACATATATCATACACTGTCCAGCAAACTTTGCGCCGAAGTCAGCTTTTAACAAACATTCTGTTTTTTAAAATTTTTCGAAATTCAAACAAATGTTTGTAGTCGAAATTAAAAAAATCTTATTTATTATATCAAAGTTCTGTATTTTATTTTATTTATTTAATTAATTAATTCTTTAAATTTCTTTCCGCTATCGTATAAAGATGTTTGCTTTTCAAAACAAGTTTACCTTTCAAGATACCGTTTTTATTTCATCAGAATCCGAAATTGTTCTACTACACGTAATGATTGCAAAACTGCTTTTACTAACAGACATATGTACAGTATATATATATATATATATATATATATATATATATATATATATATATATATATATATATATATATACACTTACTCACACAACAAATATATATACATATGTGTGTGAGTACGCGTTATCGTGAACGCTCTTCTGTTACGTGACCCTCGAAACCAGACAGCTCTTAATTTTTCAGTGAGTTTCATTTTTCGTGTGTAACGTATTGGTAAGCTTGTTAATCTCCACACTATGTCATTTGCAAGTGGATGAAATAAATAGCCTCTTCTCTGTCGCAGAAGGCGTGGAGAGCTATGATCGGCCACGTTCTGAAGCAACACGGCGCAAAGAGAGAGAGAACTTAAGAGGCGTAGGAACTGATATATGATAAAACGGAAAAAAATATATACTACTTACTTTCACAGGGAAAACGTATATTTCTAAGAAATTAAATGGGTTTTTTAGTTTAATTTTGAATTCGACAGTAGTACTTACTGCTTATTATATGTATTTCCTAAAAATAACGTTTTTGGAATATTAAAGATAATGAATAGTGACATAGATAATGAATAGATAGATAATGAATAGAGACATAGATAGATAGATAATGAATAGAGACATAGATAGATAGATAATGAATAGAGACATAGATAGATAGATAGATAGATAGATAGATAATGAATAGAGACAGATAGATAGATAATGAATAGAGACATAGATAGATAGATAGATAGATAGATAATGAATAGAGACATAGATAGATAGATAGATAGATAGATAATGAATAGAGACATAGATAGATAGATAGATAGATAGATAATGAATAGAGACATAGATAGATAGATAGATAGATAATGAATAGAGACATAGATAGATAGATAGATAGATAATGAATAGAGACATAGATAGATAGATAGATAGATAATGAATAGAGACATAGATAGATAGATAATGAATAGAGACATAGATAGATAGATAATGAATAGAGACATAGATAGATAGATAGATAGATAGATAATGAATAGAGACATAGATAGATAGATAGATAGATAGATAGATAATGAATAGAGACATAGATATACATAGATAGATAGATAGATAGATAGATAAATAGACAAGCAAATAGATTTAGATAGACTAAAATAAAGATGTATGTGTGTGTGTGTAACTGATCAATTTAAATAAAAGTTGACAATGTAATTGAATTGACAAATTCATGACTTCATTCAGTAAAAAAAAGGAATATAAGTACCTCAATTTATTTTAACAGACGACCATATTCACAGCATAACTTCAATTCTTTCATACGGACGACGGGTTGTTTATAGATTCTATTTTGTCGACGCATTTTAAATTGGTTTATAACGATTTGCTTGTTTTCAGCGTGTTTACCTAAAAGGTTTCAGATCTAAACAAGTTATTTAGACGAAAACGGCTAAACACGACGATTTTCTTGAGAAACAGACAACTTATGTTAACAGAAAATAGGCGAAGACTGTAGAAAGTTTAACACGGTTCATGAAATTAATTCAATTTAGGAAATAAAAAAGACCTTGCAGTGTTTTTGTACGGGTATGTGTGCATTTTTTCTTCTTTTCTCGTGTATTTTAATATAGTGATTGTCCCCCACCCCTCGCCGAAACTCTAAACTATTTAGAATAATAATAATAAAAAAAAGCATGATAATGTGAAATTCGAATATCAAGACCCTCTAAAAATAAAGTTCATTCATATAACAGAGATAAACACATGTGACGGAATAAGTAGTTTTATTTGTTTTAAGTTTTAAATGTACTGAGGGGAGTATAGCCCGTAAGAAAGAAGTTATTTAAATAGAAATTAATAAAATAAAAATATTCATGAAATCGTTAGGTAAAAATAAAGTAAATATTTTTATAAAACTAATATATTATTATTATTATTATTATTATTATTATTATTATTAAAGTTTGTTTTGTTTTTCCATAACGAACGTCAACAAAAAAAAAAAACAACCCAGCCAGTCATTTCTGAAATCCAGATTTTAAATTAAAATCTATCTAAAATTTATATATATAATTATTTTATTGTGAGCCAGAGAAGCGATGATAAACAAATAGACGCCTTCACAAAATAAAAACAGAACGAGTTTTTTTAGTGACATATTTTATTTTTGTTTCAATGTTGACATTTTATTTTATTTTTTTATTTTTATTTTGTGCTCTGATCCTAACCTGGTGGTGCGTGATAAAAGAAAAATGCCGCCCGATTCAGATGAATGGCTTATTTGCACAACTTAATAAACACAGCCCGGACTTAAATCTTATTATTTTTCTTCAATTGCTTTTTCTTCTATGTGCTGTATGCCTTCAGGCGATCTTGGCTCTCCACTATTTCCCGACCTTTGTAGCTCTTAGTAATTTTTTTTTTGTTTTTTCGCTATCTCTCCTAAATCATGTTCTGCTAAAGCTAACTCTACACAAGTTCCTCACGGAGGTTATCCGCTTTTTGCCTTATGAGTGTTTTATTTTCTAAGCCTTCTTTCTTCATTATGTACCCTAACTGTCTCTTTTTGTGTCCTTTTGTGTTCTCTAAAAATTCGTCGTTTGCTCACATGTTCAGCCTGCTGTATCCTCAGCATGCTACTGTAGAACCAGATTTATTACTTTAACAATCTCATAAAAAAAAGAAGAAAGAAACATTGCTGATATACAGTCGATTGTTTTGTTTATTTCTACGCGGGGTCATCAGGTCATCGTTGCAACTATTTTAAGGGATAGTAAGTAAATAAATAAATAATGCACTTTTTTGTTTTAACAGACTAAATGTTTTTTGTTTGTTTGTTTTTGTTAGGGACATACAGACTGGATAAAGGAACATGTTTTATGACTAAACAAAAACAATTTTAAAATCATCAGTGTAAAAAAAAACAAAAACAAAAAATAAACAATACAAAATACATAAATAATACAAAATTAATAAAAAATAACTGTTTACCGTGGGGTGAAGGTCTGTATCCGTGGGTGGTTCTTGAAGCCGCGGGATTTGTGTAATAACCGCTGGCATTGATGTGACTGGAAGTATTATCCAATGGGTGGGTAAAAAACATGTCCCCAATATCATCTGTTGGCATAATATTTGGGGTCGTCTCAAAGTTACTTACCCTGGGCGCTTCGGGTCGCAACCAGGGACCATTTTGCGGATCGGTTACCTGCATGGCGACGTTTGAGATATATATCTACACAACTGTAGATATATCTTGGTAGATGTTTATATAAATCTCACCACTGTGTTTTCCAATGACCTTTGATGCTTTGACGATACAAAAAGGATTGTTGTTCTAGTTTGTTTTTTTTTTTTAATTGTATTTTTTTTTTTTAATACAGATGCAATCCAATAAATTTCCTTGTTTGTTAAATAAGAAACCCGTTTAAATACTTGTACGGAGATAGATGTATAGATATAAAACAAAATTTCTTTTTTTTTTTTTTTTTTTTCATTTAATACTTCGCTTCGATCTTAAAGAATGCATATGTATCTTTACACATATGCGAAAAACACACATATCGATGCATGTAGATATAATTTAATATGTAAACATTGATATATATTTTATATTATCCCCAACATATGATTACTTTAATTTTTAACATGCAAAGTTCAGTGCGTGTGTGTTTGCGTGTGTAGACGTAAGTGGGTAGGTCGATACCCGATAAAAAAGCGGGGGTACACGATTGACTGTGTACTATATGTTAATAGGTATCTATTTATATATATATATATATATATATATATAAATATAAATATATATATATATATATATATATATATATATATATATATGTATATATGTTTAGTTGATATTTTCCACTGTATTGTAGAGTTTTGTAATAATTTGTCCGCTGAATTGAAATCTGGGGGAAGCCGTTGTGGCCCGGGTAGACACGAGTCCTTGATGCAGGGTTGAAGTTAGAAAAAAAGCAATCCAGTCGATATCATGTTGGAGATGAATTCACTCGAGTTCAGCTGCAGTTAGGAATGAGTGAGGGTGGTGGGATCAGTAGTCGGAGTGGAGTGGTAGCAGTTTGCTGCTACTGCTGATAAGAATCGGGAGGGTACAGAATTGTATATAGACGAATGAGTAATCCAACTTTTTTTCTTTTTCTTCTTCTTTTTTCTTTTCTTTTTTTTATATATATATATATATTTATAAATGCAAATATACAGTGATTTTTTTTTTTATCTTTGTCCAGTTCTTTTTTTTTTTTGTTAGATTTTTATCTTATTTTTTTTTTTATTATTATCATGATTTCATCTCTCTCTCTCTCTCTCTTTCTGTAGCGATAATACAAATACTGTCTATCAGAGATATGACTGAAGAAGTAGTAAGACCGACTGTTCACGTAGTTAAAATTTTACGCTGGTTTCGTCTCAAAAGAGGGAGGTTAGCAAACAAGAAACTGGGGCGAAGACGTCGTCAAAGCGGGCAGTTCGCTCGCTCGTCAGCCAGCAACTGAAAAACCTTCTGCCTCTCTCCTCCGTTTAACGTGAGAGAGAGAGGGGGGGGGGGAAAGGCTGGGTATGTAAAGAATAATATGGGGGAAGGAGGAGAGGAAAAAAGTACACCTCAACGGAGGGGGGAGTCTGTACCAAGGGGGAGGTCGTAAGCAAAGGAGGGGGGGTTGAAGATTAACATTGAGTAAGGAAGGAGGAGTAAAAACACCAGCACTAAAATAGCAGGAGGAGCTGGAGAATGTTTTCAAGTCACAGGTGCGTGGTTGTTATTACTGTTTCACAGTTACAATGGCTTCAGTAGTAGTCATTGTAGTTGCTATAACAAGGTTACTAAAACCTACTAATCATGATACTGTTACCAAAACGAGCAGTAAACCGTTATTTTTCTTACATAAAACTAAAAGTCAGCAGTTGATAAATACGAAAAAAAGAAAGAGAAAAACAGACTTAAACGTTGGATTATCCAAGGAGAATTAATTATCAAATGGATTTTTAAATTTTTCGCTCGTGTGCGAATGAGTGTAGTTTTTTGTTACTTTATTTTAAAATTAAATATTTTTTTAATTAAATATTTGACAAATATTATTTGTAGTTTATAATTTTAATTAGACTGACAGATATCCCAATCTTTATTTTTATTATTTATTTATTAACTCTTTTTTGTTGTTGTTTAAATGTTTTAGAATGTATGCGTATTGAATAAATTATTGCAATGAATTACATTTATTGTTAAGAAAAAAGTGATAAAAAAATTTAAGCTAGTTCTGACCCCTTAAATTGAAAAGCTTTTAAAATGAAAAAAAATGCTTATTCTCTAACCTCATCTCAGAAATATAGATAGATACTGCTTATTTTTTAGATATTGTGACTGGTCACATACATAGAATGTTTCATTTTGACCACCTTTCTTTTTTTTCTTCTTCTTTTTTTTTTAAATAGGCAGATAATTTTTTTTTTAAATAGACAGATAAATTCATTCGCCAATCACACGGCTCCGATCCCCATTTTGTATCTCCCTCCAATTCAAATAGAATTTTCTTTCTTTTTTTTATTTTGTTCTCCGTCCTTGTTTTATAGATTATTTAATCTTCTCTCTCTTTCTTTCAATCTGAAAAATAAAAATAGGCCCCGTGAGAAGGAAAATCAAAGCAAATTCGTAAAATTTTGGAAAAAAACAAAAACAAAAAAAAGTTTACTTTTACTCCGTGTAAAAACACCAAAAAACCGTTTTAAATCCATAAATTAAACACATTTTATTTTATGTGCAAGATAAATTTAAAAAAAAAATTCTAATCTTAATCGAAAATTTAATGTTTACTTTAACCCAAGTTAAAATAAAATAAAACGTAAGAACAAAAAGTGCGTTAGTTTTGTAGGAAATATGATTTCCAAGGGTCGGGATAAAGGGATTTATTATATACAGCAAACTTAAAAATATTTTCTAATTTTAGAAAACTTACGAAAAAGATTTCAAACGCTATACCAACTCTTGGAAATCACATTTCGCGCAATCTATGTTTCTATTTGCTTCTAATTATAACAGCCTGCGCAACTAACATTTACTTTTCAAATAAAAATTTTATCGTTTTCCTAAAAAACAAAAATTCATCGAAATGAAAGGAATGCTAAATATTTTAATTTTATTTTTATTTTAACTGTTTTCGAAGGTTTTTATTAAAAATATTTATTTTTAATCAAATTTTAGGACTATAGATTTTTTTTTACTTTAGAAAATTAATGATTAACTTTTAAAAATAATATACTAGTCTGTCCCACAATAATTGTGACATTTAACGTAAAAATGTGTATGCAAATGGAACATAATTTATGGGACAGAGGTTGTTTTAATGTACTGTCTCTGTCCCATAATAGTTAATACATTTAGTGTATGAATTGTGTAGGCAAATGGAACAATTATTATGGGACAGATGTAGTATTATATTAATAATAATAGACTGCCTCTGTCCCATAATGGTTGATACATTTAGTGTATGAAATGTGTAGGCAAATGGAACGATTATTATGGGACAGAAGTATTACAAGTAAAACAATACGATTCCTGTCCCATAATAATTGGTACATTTTATATATGAAAAGTATTGGCAAGTTGAATGCGTATTATGGGACAGTGGTTGCACGTTTTTTATTTAATTTGTGTCGAACATGATCATGAAAATGTCTTGAAATGTTGCAAGCCACGAATAAATATTTTGAAAAATATGAAATTCATTTTTCGTTTAATATATATATATATATCATGATATATTTATATATATATATATATATATATATATATATATAATAAGAATTTGAAAAAATTCTTCATTTCCACTCAATTATTGTCCTCATCTTTGCTGTTATTATCGCCTGAATCATACCGATCTCAGTAATCGCTGTCTGATAATCAGTTATGTGCCATGCATGATACACGTTTAGGCGATCATGTATCTTTCGATACATGACTGACGAGGCAGATTTTTTTCCGCGCTGTAGGTTGCCATTTCTTTCTGCGGTAGACCAGTTGCCATCCAAGGCTATAGAACCCAGTCTGTCCTTCTATTTACCCGTAGCTGTGGGGGGGGAGGAAGAAGATTCATACCTTTCCCAAAGGTATTAGTGCGTAAGTGAATGTAATGGATTCGACTGGAATTCGAACTCGTCTGCCTGATAATAACAACACAAAAATAGGGACAAATTTCCGTGTCGAATGTAATATAAACAATGATAACGCCTCATCAGAGAAATTCAGAAAAAAACTTAATAATTATCAATATTTGGAGAAATAAATAAATATTATTTATGCAACATCGATTTTATATTGAAAGAAATTCTCTCTGAAATACAGAATTTGATTTCATAATCCCTTTCTTCAACACCTTTGTGAAAAACTCCAAACTCCCGGAGAAAAAAACAAAAAATAAAAAATAAAAGAAATCCGACACCAGTGACTCTTTCTAATATAGACACTACTACAGCGATTAATATAAATAGTCACTTAGTATTAGTTAATTTATTAATTGCTATAAGTTAGATTA